TACTTTTCTCGTGATCAGACCGTGGGGTGGTTTTAGGAGGAAGACCACAGAGGTAAAGTGCTCTTCTCACCCCCTCCTGTCTGGGTCCACATTGTCCATGTGACCGCTCACTGGTGGTGCTGCTGGCCTTGGTCCCCTGGCCAAGGTGGAGGGTCAGGCTTCCCTGTGAAGTGGCCCGTCCCCTGTGTTCTCTGGCAGGAAGTCGCTTTGTTGAGCCCACACGGAAGGGGTGGGGAGTTTCGCTAGCCCTCCTTTAGAGAAGAGCATCTATACAAGTTATTTGGAATTCTTCTACACAGGAGATTTGTCTGTTCACCCTCATTTGTAATTTTTTTTTTTTTTTTAAATTTGAGACAGTGTCTCACTCTGTTGCCCAGGCTGGAGTGCAGTGGTATAATCTCGGCTCACTGCAACCTCTGCCTCCTGGGTTCAAGCGATTTTCCTGTCTCAGCCTCCTGAGTACCTGGGACTACAGGTGCACGCCACCACACCTGGCTAATTGTTGTATTTTAGTAGAGATGGGGGTTTCACCATGTTGTCCAGGCTGGTCTCAAACTCCTGACCTCAAGTGATCTGCCTGCCTCAGCCTCCCAAAGTGCTGCGATTATAGTTGTGAGCCACCGCACCTGGCCCCACTTATTAATTTTTTCAATCATTTATTATAGTGGACTCGTGGATATTTATTTACACTTCGAGTTATTATTCAATACTAGTTGGTTTATTTTGTTGCTCTCATTGTCGCAGCTTTGGCCACTGGGAACTTCAGGTGACTCTTGCATCCCTGTGTCATTGCCCATCACTTTGTCTTGTGAGCACGTCCTTATTTCTGGCCCTATAAACTGCTCCAGCCTCATCTTGTCTCTTTCCTTGTCCAGTCCTAGAATCAGCCATTTCTGCAAGAAGCGCCGGTTCTTTTTCTTGGAGAGTGGTCTTAGAAGGCCAAGGTCTGGGAGCTGGGTGTGCTTGTCACTACTGGGCTGTTTCTGGTCTTCTCAGCCAACAGAGCAAGGAAGCGTGTAGTGCATGTCAGCTGGTGTGTAACATACACGCTGTCTATACATAGTAACCATTGGTGTCCTGGGTCATACTGATGTCTCTACCTCTAGTGGCACCTCTTGCCCCCACCACACTTGCTGATTGTAACCTCCCCTCCAGCAGTGAGGATGCGGCCCCATCGTCTGCTGTCCCTGGTTTAGCTCCCGTGTGTGTGTAAGGTGTGTAAGGTGGTGTCACAGTGAATAACCCAAACCCCATGGGAAGAACACCACCAATGCTGTGCGGTGCTCTGGGACAGCCCCTCTGCACGGGCCCCACTCCTGCCCAGGGCTACTCGGGACAGCCTCTCTGCCTCCAGGCTGACGGGCCCCACTCCTGCCCAGGGCTACTCGGACAGCACCTTGCCCTCCACCTCTGATTGTATTTCTAACTTACCATCTCCTGTGAGTGAGGCTGGACATCTTTTATTTTCTTTTTCTTTTTTTTTTGAGATGGAGTCTTGCTCTGTCGTCCAGGCTAGAGTGCAGTAGCGCAACCTTGGCTTACTGCAGCCTCCGCCTCCCAGTTCAAGCGATTCTCCTGCCTGAGCCTCCTGAGTAGCTGGGATTACAGGTGTGTGCCACCATGCCCGGCGGCTAACTTTGTATTTTTTTTTTTTTTTTAGTAGAGACGAGGTTTCACCATGGTGGCCAGGCTGGTCTCGAACTCCCAACCTCAGATTATCCTGCCCTTGGCCTCTCAATTTTTTTTTTTTTTTTTTTTTTAGTAGAGACGAGGTTTCACCATGGTGGCCAGGCTGGTCTCGAACTCCCAACCTCAGATTATCTGCCCACCTTGGCCTCTCAAAGTGGTGGGATTACAGGCATGAGCCACTGCACCCAGCCACATCTTTTCTTTTTTTTTTTTTTTTTGAGACGATGTCTCGCTCTGTCACCCAGGCTGTAGTGCAGTGGCCGGATCTCAGCTCACTGCAAGCTCCGCCTCCCGGGTTTACGCCATTCTCCTGCCTCAGCCTCCCGAGTAGCTGGGACTACAGGTGCCCGCCACCTCGCCCAGCTAGTTTTTTGTATTTTTCAGTAGAGACGGGGTTTCACCGTGTTAGCCAGGATGGTTTCGATCTCCTGACCTCGTGATCCACCCGTCTCGGCCTCCCAAAGTGCTGGGATTACAGGCTTGACTTAGTATATTTCCTTTTCTATGACTTGTCCATGTTCTTTGCTGATTTTTCTATTTTTCTTTCTTTCTTTCTTTCTTTCTTTTTTTTTTTTTTTTTTTGAGGTGGAGTCTCACTCTTTCGCCCAGGCTGGAGTGCAGTGGCGCGATCTTGGCTCACTGCAAGCTCTGCCTCCCGGGTTCACGCCATTTTCCTGCCTCAGCCTCTGGAGTAGCTGGGACTACAGGCGCCCACCCCCACACCCGGCTAATTTTTGTATTTTTAGTAGAGATGAGGTTTCACCGTGTTAGCCAGGATGGTCTCGATCTCCTGACCTCGTGATCCACCCACCTTGGCCTCCCAAAGTGCTGGGATTATAGGCGTGAGCCACCGCACCTAGCCTTTTTTTTTTTCTTTTTTTTCTTTCAGAGACAGGGTGTCACTGTGTTGCCCAGGTTGGAGTGCAGTGACACTATCATAACTCACTCCAGCCTTTAACTCCTGGACACAAGTGATCCTCCCGCCTCAGCCTCCTGAGTAGCTGGGACTACAGGTGCACACCACCATGTCTGGCTAATTTTTTAATTTTTTGTAGAGATGAGATTTCACCATGTTGCCCAGGCTGGGCTTGAACTACTGGGATCAAGTGATTCACCCGCCTTGGCCTCCTAAAGTGTTGGGATTGTAGGTGTGAGCCACCACGCCTGGCCACAAATCACATATTTAGACCCTCAGACTGGCCCAAGGCCCCTGGTAAACAAAGACACTTTCTTCAGATGGAACATTGCCGGGGCTTGGAGTCCGTCTACCAGGGGTGGAGAGCTTGCAGGCCCTGTCTCGTGGGTGGCTTCTGCCTGCTGCCCCTTCTCCCTCTCTCAGCCCCTCCAGCAGCCTCCAGGTCACCAAGCCTGTGCTCAGCACCTGGTCAGTCCTCTCCTCACTGACGCCTTTTCAGGGTCCCTTTTTTGGGCACCTGCTGTCTGATGGGCGCTGCTCAGGCTTCTCAGAAGGCATCTTGTTTTTCCCAGAAGGATGGAAGCCTCCATGGGGCCCTTCCTCTCCTGCTGTTGTGCTCCCCGCACCCTGCCTTCTGACCTCCCCAACACCTTTCCAGCGCCCAGCTTTGGGCCCCGGGAGCACAGCCCAGGAGGGATTGAATGAGGAATTGCACGGAGCCTCTGCAGCCCCAGTGTGGAGAGAACAAGGCGGCGGGCTGCGTCTTTTGGGCGTTAGCTTGCTCCCCGATAGTCACTGTCTGTAGCCTGGTCTGGAAGGTGTGACCAAGCCTTGGAAGGGTGGTAGTGCCCACATGCTCGTGGAATTTCCACCCCGAGACCTCACAGCAGCCTCTGCCTAGCCTGGCCTCCTTTAACCGGCTCTGCTGCCGCCGAGCTGGGCTCCCTGCCTGCACTTGCTGTTCAGCTATTTTAGACCACGGTTTCCTGACCAGGAAATGCCCGTAACAAATGATTGGGTGTCCTGGTGGGATCCGTGTGTGGCTGCTTTCCTGGAGCTTTTTTTTTTTTTTGGTCTTTTTTTGGTTGGGTTGTTTGTTTCCAGCTTAAGGATTCAGATTTAAAAATAAATCTGCAAGTTCATAGGGTCTCTTTTCCTGGGAAACTGGAGACCCGAGGCCCCATCCTGTGGTGGCGTGGGCACCTGGCCAGGATCGATGTCACTGGTGGCTGTGGCATCCAGTGGCATCTGGTGGTGGTCCCCAGGCCGTTTCCCACTGGACTGTGAGCCCTTTCCCCCAAAATGTGTGATTTGGAGGGTTTTTGTATTTTTCGTTTTGTTTTGTTTTCTGACAGAGTCTTGCTCTGTCTCCAGGCTGAAGTGTCGTGGTGCAATCTCAGCTCACTGCAACCTCCGCCTCTCAGGTTTAAGCAATTCCCCTGCCTCAGCGTGCTGAGTAGCTGGGACTATAGGCACCCGCCACCACGCCCAGCTCATTTTTGTATTTTTAGTAGAGATGGAGTTTCACTGTGTTAGCCAGGATGGTCTCGAACCCCTGACCTCGTGATCCACCTGCCTCAGCCTCCCAAAGTGCTGGGATTACAGGCGTGAACCACTGCACCTGACAGTCTCCATCTCTTGACCTCGTAATCCACCCACCCCGGCCTCCCAAAGTGCTGGGATTACAGGCGTGAGCCACCACATCCAGCCGATTTGGAGGGTTTTTAAGCCTACGGGAAAGTCAGGGAGCATAGCGTAAGGTACCCCCGAGTGCCACTTCCTCAAGTGCCACTTCCCCACATGCTGCCTCTCCGAGCGCTCTGATCCTTGCTTAGCGTCTGCTACGCAGCCTTCCCTTCGTCCCCTGTGCCCCTCCGCCCCTTTCCACGGACCTGGAACCACCGAGCCGTTGGCTGCACTCACTCCCGGGTCCTATAGCGCCTGGCCACGGTTGCATCTCCTTAGTCCTCATCGTGACCCCACAGAGTCGCTCCGGGTGCCCTCCCTGCTGATGGAGGAGACCGCGGGCTGAAGGGTCCCCAGGGGTTCTCATCCACGGAAGGTGGGAGCTCGCGGTTCCTGGGAGCTGGTGGGTGACAGCAGTGACAGTGAGCAGCTCCGTTCCCGCCCTCCCTTTGCCAGGGGTGAAGGGCTCCTGCTTGATGCAGGGCGGGGGAGGCTCTTGGAGGTGAGGCCTCAGCCCCCCTCCCACTGCCCTGCTGTCTAGCACTCCTCCCCCTCTGACCACCCACTGCCTTTGGGGCCACCTGGGCCACCTGTACCCCTAGGGCCACCCCTCTGTTCTCTGACTGCGTTTCTCCAAAGCAGGCGGAGGCTGAGCGAACTGGTGAGTGAGCATTTGCTGCTTAATTAACTGTTTTCTCCCTTTTCGCAGGAGGCCACAGGGCCTGGGGGCTCCCGGGCCATCAACAACCTTAGAAGATCCAACAGCACCACACAGGTCAGCCAGCCTCGGAGCGGCTCCCCCAGGTAACCCCCAAAGCCCTTGGATAACCCTGGCCCCCTTCAGGGACCTCAGGTGCCCCCCAGCCTACTCCTCCTTGCCTCTGCTCTGCCCTTCCTCCAGCCTCCTGGGTCCTGGGCCCTTGCTGGCTAGCGAGGCCTGGAGTGACCTCATGGGCCAGCTTTGTGTCCCAGGCCTCCTCTCGCATTGGGGTGGGAGGCCCGAGGCAGACGCTCTCCTGCACGCATCCCTCCCTTCCTCCTGGCTGTCCCTGCGGCTTCTGAGACCCTGCCTGAGGGCTCTGCTGAAACCCTTCCCACCTGCCCTTTGAATGTCAAAAGCTGTCATTTGCGAGAGAGGGCAGCACTGTGACCCTTCTGAACCCCCCACACTTTGAGCCCCTGTTCCCACCTTTGCCCACTGAAACTCTGCCGCTGTCTCTTGTGGCCTCCAAACCAGCGGGCTGGGGAGGAGCTGCCTCAATGGCCCCAGTAGGGGTGTTGTGGGGAGTGGAGCCGGTGGTGGCCAGCAGCCTCCAGGGGGGACATCCTGTAGCCCAGAGTGGTAGGCGAGGCCCTGGCACCACCTCCCACCAGGCATTGTCCCCAAGCAAGCAGGGTGCTCCCGTGGGCCGCCGATCTAATGAAGGCTGAGTTCTGGGCCACCAAGGGCCCTGGGTGGCCCCTTCCTGGGAAGACCAAGAACAGCGGCCACCACGCCGCGTCCAGCACAGCCTCCAGGAGCCGCGCTCAGCTCAGGAACTGGCTTCATGGAGTCCCACGAAGCAAGGGACAGCCAAGGACAGCTGGTGTGTGTGTATGGGGGTGCGTGTGGTGTGTGGGTGTGTGCTGTGACTGTGGTATGTGTTGGGGGTTGTGTGGTGTGTGGGGGTGTGGTGTGAGTGTGGTGTGTGGGGGGGGGGTATGTGGTTTGTGAGTGGTGCATGTGTGGTGTGTGTGTATGTATGGGGTGTGGTGTGTGTTTATGTATGGGGTGTGTGGTGTGTGTGGTGTATGGTGTGTGTGTGGGGGTGGGTGTGTGTGGTTTGTGTGTTATGTGGTGGTGTGTGTGGTATGTGTGGTGTCCGTGGTGTGTGTGGCATGTGTGGTTTGTGGTGTGTGGTTTGTGTGTGGTGTGGTGTATGTGGTATGGGGCATGTGTGTGGTCTATGTGTGGTGTGTGTGTGGTGTGTGGTGTGTATGGGATGTGTGTGTGGTGTGTGTGTTATGTGGTATGTGTGATATGTGTGGTGTCTGTGTGTGTGGTCTGTGTGGTGTATATGGTTTGTGGTGCGTGTGTGTGGTGTATGTAGTATGTGGTATGCGTGTGGTCTGTGTGTGGTGTGTCTGTGTGGTGTGTATGTGGTGTGTATGGTATGTGGTGTGTGGTGTGTGTGTAGTGTGTATATGTGGTGTGTGGTGTGTGTGTGGTGTATGTGTGTGTGTATGTGGTGTGTGGTGTGTGTGTATGTGGTGTGTGGTTTGTGTGTTATGTGGTGGTGTGTGTGGTATGTGTGGGGCATGTGTATTCATGTGTGTGTGTGTGTGTGTGTGTGGTGTGTATGGGATGTGTGTGTGTGGTGTGTGTGTTATATGTGGTATGTGTGATATGTGTGGTGTCTGTGTGTGGACCAAAGGAGGCATGGTTTGTAGCGTGTGTGGTGTATGTAGTATGTGTATGCGTGTGGTCTGTGTGTGGTGTGTCTGTGTGGTGTGTAGTGTGTATGGTATGTGGTGTGTGTGGTGTGTGTGTGGTATATGTGGTGTGTGGTGTGTGTGTGTGGTGTATGTGGTGTGTGTGTGTGGGTGTGTGTGGTGTGTGTGTGGTATGGTATGTATGTGGTATGTGTGGTCTGTGGTAGTGCGTGGTGTGTGGTATGTGATGTTGTGTGTATGTGGTGTGGTGTGTGTGTGTGTGGTGTGTGGTGTGTGTGTGTGGTGTGTGTGTATGGTGTGTGTGTGTGGTATGGTGTGTGTGGTGTGTATGTGTGTATGGTGTGTGTGTGTGCTGTGTGTGTGGTGTGTGTGGCATGTTGATGGTGTATGTAGGTATGTGTGTGGTGTGTGGTGTATGTGGTGTGTTACATGTGTTTTGTGGTGTGTGTGTGTGTGGTGTGTGGTGTATGTGTGTGGTGTGTGTATGGTGTGTGTGGTGTGTGGTGTGTGTTGTGTGTGTGGTGTGTGGTGTGTACATGTGTTACGTGGTGTATGTAGTGTATGTGTGTGGTGTGTGTGGTGTGTGGTGTGTATGTGGTGTTACATGTGTTTTGTGGTGTGTGTGGTGTGTGTGATGTGTGGTGTGTATGGTGTGTGGTGTGTGGTGTGTTGTGTGTGTGGTGTGTACACACACACGTGGGTATGGTGTGTATGTGTGTGGTGTGTGTGTGGTGTGTGTGGTGTGTATGGTGTGTGTGGTATGTGTGTGGTGTGTGTTGTGTGTATGGTGTGTGGTGTTGTGTGTATAGTGTGGTGTGTGCATGTATTACGTGGTGTATGTAGTGTATGTGTGTGGTGTGTGTGTGGTGTGTGTGGTGTATATGTGTGTGTGTTGTGTGTACAGTGTGGTGTTGTGTGTGTGTATGTGTGTGTGTGCGTGGCGTGTTACGCGGTGTGTATGTAATGTATGTGTGTGGTGTGTGGTGTGGTGTGTGTTGTGTCACCACCCTCAGCCAGGCCACGGTTTTGATCCCGACTGATGAGTTGTGTTTGGTGCAGCTGTGGCCTCCCCTGGGGCAGGGTGGCAGTGGGGATGGGCCACCAGCCCATGCCTTGCAGCTGTGCTTCCCCTTCTGCTCTGAGCAGCAGTGTGTGTGGCTCTTTGTTCACAGGGAAGAGGGTGGCAGCAGAGGCAGCCACGGTATTTAAGGCCCTCGGTGGGCAGCTGGGTGCGCAGCCTCACACCTGCAATCCCAGCACTCTGGGTGGTCAATGTGAGAGGATCTGTTGAGCCCAGGAGTTCGAGACCAGCCTGCGCAACATAGACAAAACCTTGTCTCTACTAACATTAAAAAAAAAAAAAAAAAAGAAAAAAGGAAAAACAAGTAAGTCCCTTGTCTCCAGAAGCTGTGATCAGTGTGACTGATGAAGCTCCCAGGGGCTTCTGACAGAAACGCCCAGCTGCACTGAGGAACCCTGGCCAGGCACGGTGTTCAGATCCGGGCTTTGGGCCTGGAAACAGCGTTGCTGTTAGTCCCTCGGCCTGTCTGTCCTCGCGGGACCTGTGTGGTCTGTGTGCCTAGCGTCGGCTTCCTGGCTGGTGACTCTTTCCTTGTGTGCCGCCTTCTCTCTGACGCAGGCCAGCGGAGCCCACGGACTTCCTGACGCTCTTCGAGGGCAGTCCCAGTGGGAAAAAGAGGCCGGCCAGCCTGAGTACAGCCCCCAGCGAGAAGGGAGCCACCTGGAACGTCCTGGTAAGGTGGCGCGTGCGGCCGCGTGTCCTGGTCTCTGCGATGGGATTGTGGCCTGGTTCCTAATTTGTTCTCACTGCCTTTGCAAAAGGGCACTGCAGGGAGGGTGTCGAGCTTACATCTCACATGGCAGACCCTGGGATATCCACCTGCCCGTGTGAGAAGTCAGGGGCTCCTCCCGTTTGTGGGAGAGGCAAGGAAGGGACGGGGTGGCTGGGTGTGTGCGGGCGGTGTCACGGGCTGAGCTGTCTGACAGGATGACCAGCCCCGGAGCTTCACCTTGCCACCCAATGCCCGGAGTTCCAGTGCCCTTGACTCACCGGTGGGCCCTCGGAGGAAAGAGTGCACCGTGGCCCTGGCCCCCAACTTCACTGCTAACAACAGGTACAACCTGTGCAGGTGCCCACGACGTGCACCGATGGGAGGCTCCTGGAGTGGAGACTGTGTGTGTCTTTGTCTTATTTATGGCTGGTTCAAGGTGCTTTGGAATGAATGAATGAATGAGTGAGTGAGTGAAAGAATGGCTTTCATTCCCAAGGGCACAGACAGGAGGCTGCCAGGTGGCGTCTTGCACATAAGGGGCTCTCGGCCCAGGCTTTGCTCTTACAGCGTTTCAGGCCATGGGGAGGCTCACATGGGGCTCAGAGGGTGGGGTCTGGGGAGGGACCTTGGCCGAGGAGGCTTGTAGGGGGCCTAGGGAAGCCCCAAAATAAATGGACTCCAGGCAGCTGCCTCTGAGCCTTGAAGGAGAGTGTGGGCTCCTTGGGCTAGGCCTCAGAGGACCCATGAGTGGAAGGGATTGGGGACACATTTTTCCTTTGTCATTTAGAGTCTTTGCCAAAGGAATAATCTCAGGGGAGAGACCGTGTGGTTATTCGCCAGGGTTGGCACAGGAAGAATTCTTGCCTTTTTTTCTTTCTTTTTTTTTTTTTTTGAGACGGAGTCTTGCTCTGTCACCGGGCTGGAGTGCAGTGGCGCAATCTCGGCTCACTGCAACTTCTGACTCCCTGGTTCAAGCGATTCTCCAGCCTCAGCCTCCCAGTAGCTGAGATTATAGGCACGTGCCACCACGCCCAACTAATTTTTGTATTTTTTTTTGGAGAGACAGGGTTTCACCATGTTCCCTGGGATGGTCTTGATCTCCTGACCTCATGATCCACCCGCCTTGGCCTCCCAAAGTGCTGGGATTACAGGCGTCACACCCAGCCCAATTCTTGCTTTTTAATTTATTTTTAAGTTAGAAACAGGTTCTCATCTGTCACCCTGACTGGCGTCCACGATCATAGCTCACTGCAACCTCTACCTCCTGGGCTCAAGCCTTTGGAGTAGCTGGGACCACAGGTGCACACCACCACTCCTAGCTAATTTTTAAATTTGTTGTAGAGATGAAGTCTCACTGTGTTGCCCAGGCTGGTCTCAAACTCCTGGGCTCAAGCAATCCTCCCTCCTCGGCCTCCCCCAAAGCCCTGGGATTACAGGTGTGAGCCCCCACACCTGGCCCGAAAATTTACCTTAGTATTATCAGAGTTGCATGTGCATACACAGCGAAAATGTCAAACAGCACCATAGGCTTAAAATGTGGTGCCCCTCCTTCCCCCCCATTGCTGCTCTCCTGCCCCTACCCCCACTGCCCCTCCTACCCCACCCACTGCCCCTCCCACCCACCCCCACTGCCCCTCCTACCCACCCCCGCTGCCCCTCCTACCCCACGCACTGCCCCTCCCACCCACCCCCACTGCCCCTCCACTCCCCCCGCTGCCCCTCCCACTTGTGGCTCCTGCTCCCCAGGAGCAGCGTCTTTTCAAGCTATTTCTTCTGGTGTTTTTGTTTGTTTTTGTTTTTGAGACGAAGTCTCGCTCTGTCGCCCAAGCTGGAGTGCAGTGGCATGTGATCTCGCCTCACTGCAACCTCCGCTTCCTGGGTTCCAGCAATTCTCCTACCTCAACCTCCTGGGTAGCTGGGACTACAGGCGTGCGCCACCACGCCCACTAATTTTTGTATTTTTAGTAGAGAAGGGGTTTTACAATGTTGGCCAGGATGGTCTTGAACTCCTGACCTCATGATCCGCCCCCCTCGGCCTACCAAAGTGCTGGGATTACAGGCGTGAGCCACCACCCCAGCCATCTAGAGTCTTCTTGAAAACATTTATGAATACATGACATGGCCGGGCGCGGTGGCTCAAGCCTGTAATCCCAGCACTTTGGGAGGCCGAGACGGGCGGATCACGAGGTCAGGAGATCAAGACCATCCTGGCTAACCCGGTGAAACCCCGTCTCTAGTAAAAAATACAAAAAAATAGCCGGGCGAGGTGGCGGGCGTCTGTAGTCCCAGCTACTCGGGAGGCTGAGGTAGGAGAATGGTGTGAACCCGGGAGGCGGAGCTTGCAGTGAGCCGAGATCCAGCCACTGTACTCCAGCCTGGGCGACAGAGCGAGACTCTGTCTCAACAACAAAAAAAAATAAAAAATAAAAAATGAATACATGACATGCTGCTCGTTCCGGAGCAGCTCAAACAGCCCTGGTAGGAATATTCACACCACCCAAGTTGGCAAATGAGCCCCGCTCTGAGAACCAGCTGTTGAACATTTGTGAGTGCAGGCTGGTGCCAGGTGCAGGCCAGGCTGGTGCCGGGCGTGGGCTGGTGCCCAGTGCGGGCCGGTGCAGGTGCGGGCTGGTGCCAGGTACAGGCTGGTGCCAAGCACAGGTTTCGTGCAGTGCTCTGCTCTCTGCTTGCCCTCATTCCCATCACATTCTGTTGGTTTGGTTTTGGGCCTCTGACGTGTTGGTCTTTGCCCAGATGTCTTGGTGGTTCTTGTTAAAAGGGAGGTCCTGGGAGTTAGCTGGAAGCCTGTCGCCTGGTGGCTTCACCTCTCTGGGGCACTTGCGCAGAGAGCAGGGCATTGTCGGGTATCCCCACCTACTAGTGTCTGTGGGACCCTTCTCGCAGGCTGAGTCTCTCCAGAGACAAACCCCCAGCCCGCCCCAGGGTTCGAGTCCTGGCTGCCCGGTTGCACTGCTGGGGAGGGGTGGCGGCATCTGTCCTGGGTGAATCACCCACTTCTGCCCTACCCGCAGGGCCAGTTGGGGAGGGCAGGGTGGATGCTAGTGGCTCAAGTGAGGAAGGGGCTTTGCCAAGCAGCCAAATTGTCCCCTTTGCCTCAGAGCCTGTCCATGCCTGTGGGAGACCGCGTGCCTCCCTGGGGGTATGGGACCTGCCAGCTGCTCGCCCTCCCTCCCCACAATGCCTAGACCCTCCCTTGCGTCCCAGTTGCTCTCTGCTGGCCCTTCTGTTTCTAATCCTCCGGGTCTGCAGATGCCCCTTTCCTGCAGTCTCCCCGTCCCTCCTGTCAGCTTCGGTATCGGTCCTGTCCCCACTCCTTTCTGTGGGTCTGTGGAGGGGCAGAGGCAGAGAGCGTGGCTTCCATCCATTGTGTGGGATGGGGCTTCGCTTCTGTGAGTCTGCTCTGGAAGCTGATTGTGCACTACTGGCCTGAGCGGCTCCCCCTGTCTTGGGCACATCCGGTGTTCACGCCTTGATTCTATCCCCTGCCCCGCGGGAGCCCGTAAGTTGAGCTTTCCTATCCTGGGAAGGACCCCATCATCAGGGCGCAGGCTGTGGAAGGGGCCTGGGGACACTGGACGACGCTGCTGCCAGAACGGGGCAAGCACTGAAGGCCTCTGTCCCCGCCCAGCCCATGTTGCGAGTGTGGCTCTGAGATCTCAGGCGTCCCCTCTGGAGGCCTGACCATTCCTGTCTCTCTTCCGGCCTGGCAGGAGCAACAAGGGAGCCATGGGCAACTGCGTCACCACCATGGTGCACAACCGCTACACCCCCTCGGAGAGGGCACCCCCGCTCAAGAGCTCCAACCAGACTGCCCCCTCCCTCAAGTAAGGTCTTCCGGGGAGGCTGTGGGGCTGCGGGGTCCGACCTCGGCCAGGGCACGCGGTCAGTGCACACGGGGTCCGACCTCGGCCAGGGCACGAGGTCAGTGCACACGGGGTCCGACCTTGGCCAGGGCACATGGTCAGTGCACATAAAACCGCGTGGAGCAGCCGCGAGCCGGGCCCCTGTCCGAGTCCGCCACCCTCTTCTGTCCTTTGGTCAGCAGCTTCCCACAGACAGAAAACAACCCAGATGTGGCGGCACAGGGAGGTCTGGGGCTCACCGTGGGGTGGGGCCCCCAGGAGGAAGCCAGGGATTGTCCAGAGCCCAGAGGGCATCACAGCGGTGGTGGGCTGAGCGGAGCAGAGGAGCCCCCAAGGCCACCACCGCACGGTCTTGCTGGGATTGGGGATGGCCTTGGGTCTCTCAAGTGTCCCTCAGGCTCTGGACTCCTGTGACTTTTGGGAACTTTCTCAATGGAATTTTTTTTTTTTTGAGACAGAGTTTCGTTCTTGTTGCCCAGGCTGGAATGCAATGGCGTGATCTTGGCTGACTGCAAACTCCGCCTCCCAGGTTCAAGCGATTCTCCTGCCTCAGCCTCCTGAGTAGCTGGGAGTACAAGTGCCCGCCACCATGCCCGGCTAATTTTTTTGTATTTTTAGTAGAGATAGGTTTTCACCATGTTGGCCAGGCTGGTCTTGAACTTCTGACCTCAGGTAATCTGCCTGCCTTGGCCTCCCAGAGTGCTGGGATTACAGGTGTGGGCCACTACATCCAGCCTCCCAATGTAACTTTAGTGAGAACTTTTTAAATGCAAAGAGCTTGTTATCCTGGGTACCAGTGAGTGGGACCTTGTCAGGGCACAGGTGGTCCAGAGGCCAGGATGTGGCACAGGAGAGCTGGCCTCGCACCTGCCGCTGTCCCCCTCTGCCCTGGCAGCCGGCCTGCCAGCACCCCTTCCAGGCTCAGTCCTGGGACTGCTGGGAGCAGGCACCTGCGGCCTGTGGGCAGAGCCGTTCCCCTGGGTGGTGAGACAAGGCTGTTTGCTTCTTTCCTGTCAGCAACATCATCAAGGCAGCCACCTGCGAGGGCAACGAGAGCAGTGGCTTCGGGAAGCCACCAAAGAATGTCTCCGGTGCCAGCCACTCAGCCCGGAACAATGCTGGGGGCACCACGGGCCTGCCCAGGCGGAAGGAGGTGACAGAGGAGGAGGCTGAGAGGTGACCGTTCTTGGGGCGGTGGGGAGCCTGAGGCCAGAACACAGGGGTGGGCAGGCGTCGGGGTCTTGGCGGCTCACACCTCTGAGGATAGAAATTTGCATTCAATAGTTGTTTTAAAATATTGAGACTGAGCAGACCCCATGTGGCATGACTTTGTTTACATAAAACACCAAGCAAAGGCAAGTTCATCAGAGCAAGTAGAAGGCAGGTTGTAGGGGTGGCAGAGAGGGCTCCTCCAGGGGCAGTGGAACATTCCAGAACTGCACTGTGCTGATGGTCACACAACTCTAGGTTTGCTAAAAATCATTGACTTGTACACTGAAAATGGGCAGATTTTGTAGTATGGAAATTGTACCTCAGTAAAACTGTTACTTAAAACAACGTTAAAGGCAAAGAAGATACAAAACTGAAAAAAGCCAACACCACCCAAAGCGCAAGGGGCTGTGGTGGAGCCTCCTGTGACGCTGACTGTTGGGGGCTGTGTCCCTGCCACTTGCCCCTGGGGAGGTGGAGGGGGTGTGGGCGGGGCCTCCTGTGACCATGACAGTCGTTCCTGGTCAGGAGAGTCGCGGGGGTACCTCCCTGCCTGGACTTTCAGAACCTCCCCCTGGCGAAGCCGTCACCTACCCTGCCGCCCAGTTAGGGCTAGGGAGACCAGGCCTGTAGACGCAGTGGGTGGCATGAGGGAAGGGGGACCAGAAGCCCATGGCTCCTCAAAGCCCCCTACTTCTGCCTGGGGCAGACCGCCCCCGAGCTCGGGCTCACACGTTCTGGGTTCTCTGTTAATGCCTTTGCTGAGAGAATCCACACATGGTCCCGAGAGCCAAGGTGAAGCATTGTTTTTTTTTTTTTAATCAGTTTTATTCAGCATAATTTGTATACAATAAAAGGTGCCCATTGTAAGTGTGCAGTTCCATGAGTTTCCACCAGGGTGTATAGTGCTGTCTGTGGACACAGCAGACCAAGATAAGGAAACGGCCCAGCACCTCCAGGCTTCCCTCGAGCTCCTTCCTGGCCCTGATGCCAGCAGCCACCAGTCTGTTCCCTCATAGTCCTGCCTGTTCTGACCACCCTCTGTGGAGCCACGGCCTGTGGCCTGCACTGGCCTGAGTCCCGGGCCTGTTGCCTGTGGGCAGGGTCCTGCCATCCAGTGTTCACACCGTAGCCAGGTCATGGGCATCTGAACGGTTCCCACTTCCTGGCGATTGTAAATAAGGCCACACAGGCCTGCGTGGATAGACATTTCTTCTCCCCTGGACACCTTCCCAGGAGGAATGTTTTGGGTTTTAGTGGAGCTGGTCCAGGCGGGCTGGTCCTGCCAGGTGAAAAGGGCTACTTGTGTGCAGCCGCCGGCTTCTCTCTTCCCCAGCTGGACCTTCCACCAGCAACCAGCTGGCTCCTGCCAGGGCGCTGGCCTGGTCTTGGCCCTGAGCCCTTCTCTCTGGGCAGGTTTATCCACCAGGTGAACCAGGCCGCTGTCACCATCCAGCGCTGGTACCGTCGCCAGGTGCAGCGGCGCCGAGTGGGAGCTGCCCGCCTGGAGCACCTGCTGCAGGCCAAGCGGGAGGTCAGTGTGGGCGCCTCAGTCACTCCATGCTCCCCCAGGGGGTCTGGCCCAGAATCCCAGGGCTCTGAGTTTCTGGGACAGGTGGAATCAAAGCCTAGGATTGCCCGTGGGTCCTGTCTCTGGGTGCAGCATCCTTCTTGACACTGGGTCCCTGCGGACAGGCAGGGTGGTCCTCACTGGCAGTCGTCAGGGTCTGGGTGTCGAGAAATGCCTGCTGGGTCCGTCCCAGGCTGGACGGTCTCCAGAGGACACTCTGGGCATGAGCTGCCTCCCCCGTGCCGGAACTGTTGGCCACCTGTGACGCAGCGTGTAGAGCAGAGAAATGGCGGGTTCAAGGTCCTGGTGGGGTTTCACCTTCCCTACTGGCCCTGAGATTCCACGAACTCTAGGGGACTCTGGGGCATTGTGGGGAAGCTTCTAGTCTGGGTCTAGATTCCATCTTCCCGATGTATACACCACATGGCACCAGCTTCTTTGGCAGGAGCAGCGGCAGCGGCCAGGCGAGGGGACCCTCCTGGACCTGCACCAGCAGAAAGAGGCAGCCAGGAGGAAGGCCCGGGAAGAGAAGGCACGCCAAACCAGGCGAGCGGCCATTCAGGTGCCTGGGCTGACGGCGCAGGGACCTCTGAGCAGTACCATGGCCCAGGCCTGACCATGGGGCCGATGCTAGGGCTCCCTGGGCCCCGGGACACTGAGCCTCAGGGCAGCATGGCTGGGGAGCCTGGGGTCGTCCTCTCCCCCGGGCAGTGCTCAGCGACGCTCCCACTGCAGGAGCTGCAACAGAAACGAGCCCTGAGAGCCCAGAAGGCGATCACAGCTGAGCGTGGGCCGCCTGAGAATCCCAGGGAGACCAGAGCGCCAGGGACGCGGCGGCCTGCTCAGGAGCTGTCCCCCACGCCAGGCGACGCTGCCCACCAGGCCCTCAAGGCCAACAATGCTGGTGAGAGTGGCTCTGTGCCTGTGGAGGTGGGCTGGGCTGCAGCCAGGAAGGAGGTGCAGCCCCTGTGGACCTCTCCTCAGCCTCCTGTGCTGCTGCCCGTGTTGGCAGCCCCAGTCCTCGGGATTAGGGGCCTTGGCCCCCAGCTGACCTGACAAGGGTGCCGAGACCTTGACAAACAAGTGGTCCTGGACATAGGGGCCCTACAGAGCAGAAGGCCCGGAAGGGTGGAAGGGTGGGGTGGCACTCATCCTCCACAGCTCCACACCCAAAAGGCCATGTCTCCCCAGCGGCTCCTCTGCTTCTGGGGTCACCTCCGCCGCCTCCATACCTGGCTCCTTCCCAGGGGTGCCTCCAGAGTTACTGCCCGCCCCGGGATGCTCTCTGTGGGATGATGCTGTGTTCTGCTGTGCAGGTACCGGCCTCCCTGCTGCAGGCCCTGGAGACTGCTGCCTGCCCACCTCCAGTTCGTCCCCAGAACCACAGCAGCCTCCAGAGGACAGGACGCAGGTCTGGGTACAGCTGTCCTTCCCTCCCTTGTGGTTTTGGCTTTAAGGGCTGCGTCTGTGCCAGGGGTGTCCCGAGCTGAGATGTCCCAGCCGCTCCTCTGCTCTAGGGGCCACTCATGCCCGGAGAGGCCACCCAGGGGGATCTTCTTGTTCTGATGCACGGTGCTGGCTGCCCCGAGGGGAGCCTTCGCTAGGGTGGACCTGTTGGGTTTTTGCAGATGTCCTGGGGTCGGGGGCCCTGCATCCTCATCCACAGAAGAGGAGCTTCCAGCTCCGAGGGGTGACGTGACAGCCAAGGCTCCCAGGCTGCTCCGTGGTGGGGCCAGGTGGCTGCACAGCCTGTTTTCCAGGAGTGGGGTGCTGGGAGGAGTCCCTGGTGGCTAGAGCTGCTCTGGGTTTGAGCAGCTGCAGAGACTGGGTGGGAAAGTCTGAGCCCTGGCCTCACCTTCCAGAGGCTGAATGTCAGGACTGGGGAGCTCCCGCGGCACCTTCGGGGCTCTGCGCCTTGCTGCATCTATCTCCCTGCTCTTCTGCAGGACGTTCTCGCCCAGGATGCAGCTGGGGACAACCTGGAGACGGTGACCCCGAGCAGGGGCAGCACCAAATCCAGAGGGCCCCTGGAGGAGCTGCTGCACACGCTGCAGCTGCTGGAGAAGGAGCCGGAGCCGCTGCCCCGCCCCAGGGCCCATCACAGGGGCAGATACGCCTGGGCCAGTGAGGTGACCGCAGTGTGCGCCCCGCCCTGCCCAGTCTGTCCAGCCATGCCATCCACACAGAGCATGCGGTGGCTGTAGGGGTTGGGAAAAGGGGGTGCCACGGGCTCCTTGCTTTGGTCGCGACCCTCCCTCCCAGAGCCCAGCCTCAGCTGCCACCTCTGTCCCTGGGGACCCCTAGTCCTCAGGCTGCCCTGACAGCCCCCGATGCTGGTCTCCTGTCCCACAGGAGGACGATGCCAGCTCTCTGACAGCTGACAACCTGGAGAAATTTGGAAAACTCAGTGCGTTCCCCGAACCCCCTGAGGATGGGACGCTGCTCTCGGAGGCCAAGCTACAAAGCATCATGAGCTTCTTGGACGAGATGGAGAAGTCTGCGCAGGACCAGCCGGACCCCCAGCAGGTGGTCGCCCCTTGCCCGCTCCCACCTGGCCCCCAGGGGGAGGAGGTCCCTCGCCAGCCCCGACCTGGTCCCCAGCAGGAGGTGGTCCCGTACCATGTACCCACCCAGTTGTGCAGCCCCCACCACGGGACTCTCTCAGGGTGGAGGTGGCAGGGCCCACATTCCCCAACAGCACCCACCTCCCCGCTGCCCTGAGCCGCCTCCACGAGCCTGTATGTGTGGATAGTTCAGGCCTCCGGAGCCTTGTGTCCTCTGGGCCACCCATTGGTTTGTCCTTGGTGAACACCAGCGGCCAGGCTAAATGGAGCAGTGACATGAACTCATTGTCACAGGGCAGGAAGCTGGGAAGCACAGAACTTTTTAAATGGTTTGTTTTTTATTCTTGAGGCCACGGCCCCCATTTCCTGTACTGAGCAATGAAAATGGCCTCTGCCAGGCCGCCTGCCACCTGCCCTCCGGCTTCCCATGGGCTCCCATGTGCAGCAGCCCCTCTGTCCCCGGAGGGCAGGGCTGCAGGGGCATCGAGTCAGGTCCTTGGCTGCCTCCCTGTCCTCTGCCACTGCTGCCTGACGCTCGGCTGTGTCTGCAGGGGTGGGTGCTGGAGGCGGGGCCCGGGCCCCTGGAGCTGGGGTCCGAGGCGAGCACGTCGGTGATGCGGCTGAAGCTGGAGGTGGAGGAGAAGAAGCAGGCCATGCTGCTGCTGCAGAGAGCGCTGGTAACGCTGCGGGCACTGCTAATTCTAGGCCCTCCTAGCCTCCTACCTGCCGAGGCCGGGCCCACCGGTCCCAGCGTCTCCCTCCTCTGCCCACACCCTGCAGGCGCAGCAGCGAGACCTCACGGTCCGGCGGGTCAAGGAGACAGAGAAGGCATTGAGCCGGCAGCTACAGCGGCAGAGGGAGCACTACGAGGCCACCATCCAGCGGCACTTGGCCTTCATCGACCAGGTGAGCGGCCTGGGGACCGCAGAGGCCCGGACCCAGCTCGTGGCTCATGGAGACTTCCAGAGTCAGGGGCTTCCCTTTGCCGGTGAGCTTCTTCCTGTGTTGGGGGTCACACAGGTATCTGCTGGATGCATTCCAAGCCTTTCCCGTGCCGTTCCCAGCCGTCCATGCCCTGGAGAGGACACTCCTGTCTTTACCCAGAGCTGCCCCGAGTGAGGGTAGTAGGGGTGTCCCGCTGGCCCCTCGACTCAGTTGCAGCCCTGGTCGGATCCTATTCTGGAGAGAACTCTAGATCTGGGGTCCGTGAGAATAGGGGCCTCCAGGGGCTCCTTGGTGGTCATCACAGGTGTGTCCTGACCTGGGGTCTGGCCTGGGGCCTGCAGTAAGGCTGGTGTGGTCCTAACACCCTTTGGCAGACAGTGGGCCTCCTCCGGGGCTGGGTGATGGGCACGACAAAGCTACCCTCATCCTAGGAATACCCTGACATCACTGCGGGGGTGGGCTGGGGCTTCTCTGACATTTTCTGGGTCCCCCAGCTGAGGACAGGACAGCGGATGCAGGCCTGGGCCCGTGTTTGCAGACATGCCCTCCCACTGGCCCCAGGGTCCATCCACAAACCTAGGAGGGGCAGCCCCAGGAGAGGGCTGTTCTTAGCCTCCCTCGGAGGCTGGGAGGATCTCCTCCATCAGGGGTCCTGCTGGGCTGGGGCCTTGTGCAGCCACCTCACCTCTGGTCCCCAACACAGCTGATCGAAGACAAGAAGGTCCTGAGTGAAAAGTGCGAGGCTGTGGTGGCCGAGCTGAAGCAGGAGGACCAGAGATGCACTGAGCGTGTGGCCCAGGTGCAGGCGCAGCACGAGCTGGTGAGGCTTCACTCCCCACTGCACAGCGTCCCAGGCCGGGCTCACAGGCCAGGCTCAGCTGGCACAGCCCCGAGAACAGGGTCGGACTCGGAGTCCTCATTCCTGCCTCAGAGTGTCAGGGCCACAGCAGTGGGTGGGGCTGTCTGGGGGAGCACCGTGGCACCGAGCTAGTCCACTCCTGCCTCTCTAGCTGCCAGGCTCTGGGGTGGGGCCATGGGCCTGCTGTCACAGATGTGAATGCACAGTCCCTGCCCGGCCACACCACGGTCGCCATGGACCCAGGAGTCTCTGCCTGGCCTGCCCCACTGCCAGGTCCTTGGGCCACGGGACCTGCTCTCTCTACTGACCAGGTGTCGGTGGAGCACTGTGTGGGGCTCTCTGGGGGCCTCAGCCTCCCTGGCTATGCTTCCTACCAGCTTGGGCAGTGATGGTCCCGAGCCCAGGCTCTGGAGTGGGGCTTGGCACTGGCATTTTAAAATCCCTGCACGTGACTGTGGCTGACAGCCGGAGTTGAGGACTGCCAGTCACGTGGAAGAGTGCGGGCTCTGGGGCCATCCCGACAGGCAGTAGCACTCCTCTCTGGGGCAGGGCTTCTGCAGGCTGATGGCTGCCCTCCCATTTCTCAGGCCACTAAGGTGTGTGACTGGGTGGGCCTGGGCCTCCAGCCTGGCCCCCGGTGCTGGGGAGGGCAGCCATGGCTCTCTGGAGCTGGCGTGTATGTCTCGGGGCAGCACACCCACCCACGAGCCCCAGCCTTGTGCTGGTGGACTTGGAAGCCCGGCCCTGCCTGTGCCCGCAGGGTGGTAAAGGGATGGGGGTGTCTTCACATCATTTCTTCCTGACCTGTTCTCCTGCTCACAGGAGATTAAAAAACTCAAAGAACTAATGAGTGCCACTGAGAAAGTCCGCCGGGAGAAGTGGATCAGTGAGAAAACCAAGAAGATCAAGGAGGTCACTGTCCGAGGTGGGCCATCCCCTCCCGCGAGCCAGCCAGGTGTGGGGTGGGCGCTGCGGCCGGGGCTTCTTTTGAGAGGTCCGTAATTTCAGGCATTCATGTAGTCTGAGACCTTCCTGGGCAGAGGTGAACACTCATGCCCCAACCGCCCCTGTCACGGCCTCCCCTGCGGCCTCTGCTGTGATCCTAGGGGCAGGTGGGCTCCGCACAGGAGCCTGGCCCGGTCCCCAGCACGCAGGCAGTGGACTGAAACAAGGGGGCTCAGTGCCTCACTTCCTCGGGGTTGGGCTAGGGGAGATTGGGAGTTTGTGGACAACTGTGGCATGTGGACCCTGCCACGGGAAGCAGAGTGAGCCACAGGAAGAAGCAGGTGCAGGCAGGGGGATGGGGCAGGAGGCTGGTGGGTGTTGGGGTCTCAAGGGGCCTCGGACCCTTGGGTGGTGTGCAGGGCTCCCTGAGGCCTGGTCTTCTTGCTCTGGACACCTACTGTCAGGGTGCCTGGGAGCCGTCAGTGGGAGCACCAAGAGTCTCGGGGAGTCCTGAGCCCCGCAGGCTGGGGGAGGCGCCGTGGCCCTGTGGGGGCCTCTTCCCCACTTCCTGGGTGTCGGACTCAGCTGTGCTTCGGGTTGGATCCAAGGAGGCCTTGGGTGGGCGGGGTCCCCTCTGGCCCTGAGACAGGCCATCTTGTGCCAGGGTTGGGCTTCCCGGGCCCACCCAGCTGGACATGGCCCTAGCCAGTGCCCTGCCCCCAGGCCTGGAGCCCGAGATACAGAAGCTGATTGCCAGGCACAAGCAGGAGGTGCGGAGGCTCAAGAGCCTTCATGAGGCGGAGCTGCTGCAGTCGGACGAGCGGGCCTCACAGCGCTGCCTGCGCCAGGCCGAGGAGCTGCGGGAGCAGCTTGAGCGGGAGAAGGAGGCGCTGGGCCAGCAGGAGCGCGAGCGTGCTCGGCAGCGGTGGGTGGTGGCTCCAGGCCAGTGGGAAGTCGGGGAATCCCCGAAGGTCGGAGTGGGTTTTCCATGTAGAGGTGGGCGAGGGTCTTGGTGCAGCATCCAGGGAGGATGCAGGGCACTTGGCCCTGGAGGGGCCCAGCCTCCTCAGCCAGGCCAGTGTCCTCGGGCTTGTGTCTGCAGTGCATGCCCGCCAAGGTCTGCGGGTTCTGCACGGGTGTTTTCCCAGCGTTAGGGCTCGGAACCCCCACCAGACGTCCCCTCTTTCAGAACTGACCCCAGAGCAGCTGACCCGTAGAGAGGCGGCCTCAAGGCCCCTCCAGCTCTGACCTTGGGGCCCAGGGATGGTCTCTCTCATTCACTCTTTTGGCCTGGAGTCTGAGGGGTGACTCCTGCTCTTGCATCCTGAGTCCTGGGGACCGGGGACGTGCCCAGTGGTGGTCAGGATCTGTGGGCCACAGGGACCAGTGGCAACCCCTCCCACACTGTCTGCACCACCAGGACAGAGCCTGGAAGCCACCTACTCCTGTCTGTCCTGCTGCCTGTCACGGCTGGTCCACCCCAGATGCAGCTTGGCTGGTCCCCCAGTCTCTCCCTGAAGGTGGGGTCAGGACGAGGCCCTGGCACGAGCTTACACAGGTCACGGAGCCAGGCACCTGGCACCCTCAGGCCGGAGGCAGGGGAGGTGGATAAGGCCCCACAAGGCACCTGCCTCCCGCCCTCCATACTCATGGGGCAACGCTGAACAGGGTGAGGCTGGCACAAAGGCTGAGGGAAAAGGGAGCCCAGACGCAGCTCCACAGCCACTTCCCAAAGCGCCACGAGGGCCTGGAGCTCAGAGAATTACGGAGCTTGGCTGATGGGCAAGGTCCTCATGGCCCTGCCTGCCCCTTGGGCGGTGGCTTTGAGGGGCCTCAGCTGCCGAGGGGGAGGGGCTGGTTCCAGACAGGGCCCCAGAGGGCTGCTCTTGAGCTCTGAATCAGGTCGGTGGTTGGCCTGTGCCCCTGCGGTGGGTGGGTCCTGGGACTGCCCATCCCTACCCACCGAAAGTCAGTCCTGACCATCCTGCAGGTTCCAGCAGCACCTGGAGCAGGAGCAGTGGGCGCTGCAGCAGCAACGGCAGCGGCTGTACAGCGAGGTGGCCGAGGAAAGGGAGCGACTGGGCCAGCAGGCAGCCAGGTGCTGCCCAGGGGGCAACATGCCCTCTCCCAGGGACCCTTCCCACCCAACCCCTCACCCGCTGACCTCTCCCATCCCTGACTCCTTCCTCTATGACTGCTCACCTGTTGACTCCTCCCTGGCCACAGGCAGCGGGCGGAGCTGGAGGAGCTGAGGCAGCAGCTGGAGGAGAGCAGCTCTGCGCTGACCCGAGCCCTGAGGGCGGAGTTTGAGAAGGGCAGGGAGGAGCAGGAGCGCCGGCACCAGGTCTATGGCCCGGGAGGCTGTGCTGGGCCTGGCCGGGGGTCTGGGCAGGGTGGGACTGACTAGCCTCTTAATGTCCACCCCCCAGATGGAGCTGAAGGCCCTGAAGCAGCAGCTGGAGCTGGAGAGGCAGGCGTGGGAGGCCAGCTGTGCTAGGAAGGAGGTGGGGGCCTGGGCACCCAGGTGGGCAGGGGTTGGGGGCTGCCCCAGGTGGGCCCTGCTGCCATGGCATCCCGGAGTCTCGTTTCTGGGAGTCACATCTGGCTACTTGGGGTTGTCGTCTGAGCTGACGCTAGTATGTTGCTTTCAGCCCACATTTTGTGTGGGCTCTGGAAGGATCAAGGGTGCCTGGGGCGCATCCTCTATGGTCTGAGAACAGGTGTTGCCCCCTCGCTAGGGGCTGCTCCACCTGTGTGCCCAATGGCCAGCCCACCGACACTCAGATGTGCAGAGGGGCACACGCACAACAGAACCCCCCCTTAGTCTCTGGGGCCTTCTGCAGGGGTGGACTTGGCCTCAGTGACAGTCCCACACACATTCTCACCACCCATGCCTGCCGTGAGGCCACAGCCCAGGCTGACCATGCCCATCACCTGGTTTCACACCCTGGTGGGCTGGGATGTCACCCAGCAGCCAGGCAGGCTGTGGCAGTGGACGCCTCCGGGCCCAGGAGCATGCTCCTGACGCAGGCCTGTGGGACCCAGAGCTGGGCACATGAAACTCGATGGGAGTTTCCAGAGGCTGCCAGGGTAGGATCTCGCTGCCTGGGCTTGGGGGCCCAGGCCCTGCCCTCAGCAACATGGCAAGTCCGACTTTCCCAGCCCATCTGGTAGCAGATGGTGACCTCAGGCTGTCATGGGCTGTGGGTCTCTGAGGGAGGGGACCCTGGGCTGTGCATCATGACGATCTCTGGTACGCCTGTGCCCACACTGGGTCCTGACGACAGGACGTAGCACACCCCAGGATGAGGGCCTGGAGAGGGGGAAGGCCCCTTGCTCCACCGTGGCTCAGAACCTGGAGCCCCCCAGGACCCCCTGAGGCTGGCCCTGGCCCCGCGGGCCAGCTCCGGGTGGCAACCCCCTAGGCAATGTGTGTCCCCCCAGGAGGCGTGGCTGCTGAACCGGGAACAGGAGCTGAGGGAAGAAATCCGGAAAGGCCGGGACAAGGAGATCGAGCTGGTTATTCACCGGCTGGAGGCCGATATGGCACTGGCCAAGGAAGAGAGTGAGAAGGCTGCTGAGAGTCGGTGAGGCCCCGCTACGAGTGGGACACGACTGGGTCACCTGCCACGAGTGGGGCACGCCTGGGTCACCCGCCACGAGTGGGGCACGGCTGGGTCACCCGCCACGAGTGGGACATGGGCGGGGCACAACTGGGTCACCCGCCACGAGTGGGACACGGCTGGGTCACCCGCCACGAGTGGGACATGGCTGGGTCACCCGCCATGAGTGGGACACGGCTGGGTCACCCGCCACGAGTGAGGCACGGCTGGGTCGCCAGCTGGGGAGGCCCGGGAGCCGAGGTGCAAGGACCCATGTGTGACTGGGCTGCAGTGACCCTGCCCTCCCCAAAACGCCAGCATCAAGCGCTTACGGGACAAGTACGAGGCAGAGCTCTCCGAGCTGGAGCAGTCGGAGCGGAAGCTTCAGGAGCGGTGCTCCGAGCTGAAGGGCCAGCTTGGGGAGGCCGAGGGTGAGAATCTGCGTCTGCAGGGCCTCGTGCGGCAGAAGGAGCGGGCGCTGGAGGACGCGCAGGCCGTGAGTGGGCGGGTATCAGGTGGGCAGTGGGCACCCCCAGGCCCCTCCTACATGCATGCAGCCACTTGCTGGCAGCCGGCTCACAGCCTCCTGTGCCCACCCAGATGAACGAGCAGCTTTCTAGCGAGCGTAGCAACCTGGCCCAGGTGATCCGCCAGGAGTTCGAGGACCGGCTGGCAGCCTCTGAGGAGGAGACGCGGCAGACCAAGGCCGAGCTGGCCGCGCTGCAGGCCCGCCAGCAGCTGGAGCTGGAGGAGGTGCACCGGAGGTGGGTGTCAGGGGCTGCAGGGCTGGAGATGGAGGCGGGGCAGGGGAGCAGGCAGGGCCCTTGCAGCTCCAAGCCCCAGGAGGCTGTGGCTGAGGAAGGCCAGGAGATGCAGAGCCAGGGCCCTATATGAAGAGCCTCTGGGGCCTTGGAGACCTGGATCTGTTCTCCTCCTTGGCGCGTAGTCCAGGGTGTTGGCCATCCCTGTTAGGGCACCCGAGTGGATCGTGTCTGGGCCTGGCGAGTTCTCCAGGGAGGCAGCTCCCGGGACCCTGGGCTGGGTGGACAGACGCTGCAAGAGCCAGGCGCTGTAAGATTCCTAGTGAACTCCCTCCACGGGGGTCCTACGTCCTTCCTGTGCCGCCTGCTGCCGTGGGCTGAGAGGTGGGTGTGGGCGAGGCTTCCCACCCCATTTTGGGTACCAGACCTCTCCAGGTGTGGCCAGGGTCACACTCCAGGGGCCTGTGTTGGGTCCTGATTCAACAGCAGGTGGGTTCCCTGGACAGCTGCCTGGCCAGCCACAGGAGTTGTGGTCAGCAGGGCTGGGACCAGGCTGACCAGGCGGCTGCCCCGGGCACCCTGTGCGCTGCAGGCCAGTCTGGGGCCATGGGGCGGGGGCCACGCTGAAGCCCACCACCCACCACACACAGGGTGAAGACGGCCCTCGCGAGGAAGGAGGAGGCTGTGAGCAGCCTCCGGACACAGCACGAGGTGAGTCCCTGTGGCCAGCCCTTCGGGACCTCGGGGCTGGGAGCAGGCCTGACCCTGCGGGTGTGTTGCAGGCTGCGGTGAAGCGGGCCGACCACCTGGAGGAGCTGCTGGAGCAGCACAGGCGGCCCACACTGAGTACCAAGTGACCAGGATGCTGGGAACACTGCTGAAGAACGGAAGGCAGAGGACAGAGGCTGGACATGGCCCGGAGGCCCACGGGGATGCTCACCTGCCCCCTGCAGAGGCTGGTGGTTGAGATGCACATGGCTGAGCACCTGTGGCTGCATTTTAACAGTAAAGGAGGCCGTCGTTTTCAGTGCCTTGAGTGACTGCCTTGTCTTCTCTCCTGGGCTAGAGGCCACCCTAGACCCGCAGGGCAGCCAGGCGTGGGTTTGACTTTCTTCCTCCCACTCCCCTCTCCAGCCCGTGCAGGCTGACCAGGGAATCATGAAGCTTGGCCATCAGCCCCCCAGCTAGCAGCCCCCCACGCTCAGCCAGCAGCTGCCAGCACTCAGCCCGCTGCCCCCCCACGCTCAGCCCGCAGCCCCCCAGTGCTCAGCCCGCAGGCCCCCAGCGCTCAGCCCGCAGGCCCCCAGCACTCAACCCAACCCCCAAGTTCCTGTTCCCTGCCTTGCCCTGGGCCCTGAGACTCAGGCTCCAGTCCCAAGCGCAGGGAATTCCCCACCCCGTTCCTGGCCAGGCGCAGGAGGAGCTCAGCAGAACTCACCCCCTGGGAGGAGCTCCAAGGGCCCCGCCCCGGCCCTGCAGGTGATCGAAGCTTACGGCCACCAGTGTGCCCCTACGGCTGGGAGACTACAGAGGGACAGGAAGCCCTCCCCTCCCTGCTATGTGTGACAGCCTGGAGCTCTCAACAAATGGGGATGGACAGGGCCCACCCTTGAGGAAGGAGCACTGGGGAAGGTCCCAGGCAGGGGAGGGCAGGAGAGGGTACCAGGTCCCCCACTGGCCCAGGGCATCTGTTCACACCCAGCCTGGTGCTCAGCCCAGGTCAGCTTGGCCCGGTCAGCTCAGAACCTGCCCTGAATCCTCGGGGGGCAGCCCTCCCTCCACCTGTGTCTACACTGAGCAGGAAGTGAGTGCTGGACGCCCACTCACTGGGATGGGAGGTCTGAAGTCACACCTGAACGCTTGGTGGGAGACAAGGGTCCCCGAGCAGGCCGCACTGTCCTGGGACCGGGCTTTGGGGTCGCTCGGGCTGCCATGCCACACTGTTCCAGCGTCTGCGCCGGGTAGACCCATCGTCCCTGAGCCTGTCTGCCCACCTGCGGCGTGGCTAGGACCTCCCTGGCTGCAGCGGCTGCTGGGCCTGTGCCTGGGGTCCTGGGAGGCCCCCTGTGGAGCAGAGGTGCTGCTAGCTGCCCAGGCCTACTCCGAGACCCTGCCTGGGGCTTGCCTTCCCCCAGGAGGGGCTGGCCAGGCTCAGGTCCTTGTGCCCAGCACCATCCTGCTGGCCAAGCCACTGCCCTGGACACAAGGCATGTCCTTGTCTTTACATCTTTATCCTTCCAGATGGCATCATCCCTGGTCCCCATGCTGGCTTTGGTGACCAGGGATGTGTGTGAGATGGGCCTTGTCCTGCATCTAGTGTGGGTCCCCCGCCTGGCAGGGGGTGCAGGCCACTGAGTCCCTCTCGCTCACCACCCCCCAGGTTCCCAGGTCCAGGCCTAGACTAGGGCCCCAAGCCAGGAGGAGCTCAGGACCTCGGGGGTGAGGCTAGGAGAACGCCCCTAACGGACAGGGCCCAGGCAAATGTGGCTTCAGGGGACTGTGCAAATCATGCTTGAGGACCTGGGGCATGGGGGGAGGCCCCAAAGGGCCCCAAGATGTTGGAATCAGAGCTGGAGGCTCGGGCTGGAGCTGTGTGTGGCACTGGGCTGGGTATCTAGGGCACAGGACAGGTCAGTGTAGGTCCCCGGGTCGTGGTTGGTCATGCAGAACCACTGCTGGGCCTTCCTCCTTTTGCAGACAGGGCCAGGCCTGTGTGAAGGTGAAATGCACAGCAGGGACAGTGCCTAGCGGGGTGGGAGGGGCGGCTTCCACCGTCCCCTAGGTCACTGTGAGCCTTGCTTGTCTTGGACACTCAGGCTCAGCTCAGCGGCCACCCCACTCCCAGGGCCTGCTCCTGGGCCAAGGTGAGACCCAGGTACCTCCTGGTGAGGCTGCGGGCAGGAGCTGAGGATGACAGCCGCATCCCTTACGATGAGTTGCTGTTGGCCAGGCCCCATGCTGAGGACAAAACTCTGGGGGCCTCACCAAAGCCTGTGTTGGGGCAGTGGCCCCCAGGGACGATGGGGACACTGGCTGCAGGGTGCTGTGAGCTGAGCCACTCAGCTGGGCTTTAACTCCAGAACGTCACCCAAATGTGAGCTCAGCTGGCCAGGCAGGCTCTGAGAGTGGGCGGCTGTAGATCTCAGGTCCTGGGGGCCCTACACCTCCATCACCGCAGCTGAAGCCCCCAGGAGCCGGCTCCCAGGAGTAGTGCAGGGCCACGTGGGGAAACCAAGCTTTCTGCTGTGGCACATGTTCGGGCGCCCTGGCTGCAGAAAAGGTGTTTTTATCAGTGAAACGGCTGCGAATTACTAAACTAAGTTTGTTTACAAGGTCTCCAGCAGGATGCACAGGGTGACTCCACAGAGATAGTGAGAAGTGGCCTTGGGACACTCCTTATGGCCAGAAAAGGAGAGAAAATCGGGTGTGACCTTCCGCTGGGGGCATCCGCAGCTTCCCAGCCCCTGTCTTATGGGTTTTTCATTTGCTCGTTTGTTTCTTCTTCATTCCTGAGTCCTTCATTTGTTCACAAGGACGTGCGGAGAGCCTTTTGCATTTGGGGCCAATTGTTGCATCTCTTGGATTTTGTTTTTTATTGTCTTAATTTTTAAATTTAAATTTGATTAATTTATTTTTTTATTTTGAGACAGAGTCTCTGTTGCCCAGGCTGGAGTGCAGTGGCATGATCTTGGCTCACTGAAACCTCCGCCTCCCGGATTCAAGTGATTCTCCTGCCTCAGCCTCCCAAGTAGCTGGGATTACAGGTGTGCGCCACCAAGACGGCTAATTTTTGTATGTTTAGTAGAGATGGGGTTTCACCATGTTGGCCAGGCTGGTCTTGATCTCTTGACTTCGTGATCTACCCACCTCGGCCTCCCAAAGTGCTGGGATTACAGGCATGAACCGCCGTGCCCGGCCTAGTTTTTATTTTTTGAGACAAGGTCTTGCTCTGTCGCCCAAGCTGGAGTGCAGTGGCGCATTTATAGCTCACTGCAGCCTCGAACTCTTAGCCTCAAGTGATTCCCCCCGCCTCAGCCTCCCAGGTAGTGGGGACTACCTGGTAGTGGGAAACCATGCCCAGCCACTTTTATTTTACTTTTGTAGACAGTCTCACTGTGTTGACCAGGTTGGTCTCAAACTCCTGGGTTCACGTGATCACGCCACCCTGGCCTCCCGAAGTCGAATTACAGGTGTGAACCGCCATACCCAACCTGTTGGTTTTTAATTCAGATTTTCGGTGAATGGACTGGTACTGAGTATCATTCCTGTCTCTGTGGTGCTCTCCAGCTGCGTGGCCTCAAGTGTTGTGCTGATGAGAAGCGTTTTCCTGAGAGGCTGGAACTTTGAGGAGGGGGCCTGTCTGCCGGGCGGCTTCACCTGGACAGGGGTGCCTGGGGAAGGGGGCTGAGATGGCATTTCTCTTCCCTGTGGGGAGTGGAGTGTGGGAGGCTGGGAGTGCGGTGGGCAGGGGGCGGCTCTGTGTTCCAGGGGCAGCTATTAAGCCCCAGCCTTCCGGGAAAGGCCCCAGGTCGAACCTGTTGCCCTGAGCCTTCCAGCTCCTTCTGCTCCAGGTAGTTCTAGTGCCCAACAGATGGCAACACAGGAGGGCTTCACTCAGCAAGATACTGTGGAGGTCCCCAGGGGGGTGGAGGGGTCTCTGAGTCACGGTGGGGGGCACCCCGAGTCTCACCATTAAGAAAGCTGGACTCCCTTCCCCCAGCTGGGTCACTTCCCTGTCTAGGTTGGTGGGCTGTTGGGGGTGGGGGAAGGGCTTCGGGGTGGGGCCAGACCCTAGAAGCACAAGTGGACTCTGCCTGGGTTTCATTCCACCCCGATCTGGCTCGCCGCCCTCATGGGCTCCATTCGTTCCCTGGCAGAGCCTGCATCTTTGAGAGAGTTCACATCATCAACCAAATCATCTAAGGCATCTGTCGGTGGCAGGCCTAGAATTTGGGGTACAGCAATTCTCCTGCCTCAGCCTCCCAAGTAGCTGGGACTCCAGGTTACCACACCCAACCCCTCGAGGGCTTTATGTTCCAGCAGGGGAGACGGAAAGAAAGCGGGAAACTTAATATTTCACAATGCGCACCTTTATTTCTGCCCCTCCTGCGAGCTTCCTTTTTTGTTCTTTTTCTAACTTCTTGGGAAGGATACTTAGAACATGGATTCCCAGGCCCTTTTCCTTTGGAGTCTGTGCATCTAAGACTGAGTTTCCCCCAAGGCACCGTTTGAGGGGCAACCACAAGTTGACGTGTTGTATTTTCATTCTTCTTTGGTGCAAACCATTTTCAAATTTGCAGGGTGGTCCCTTTGAACCATAGGCTGTTTAGAACTGCGCTGCTTTTTTTCTCTTTTAAATTTCTAACTTAGCTTCTGTATGGTCAGAGAATGTTCCGTATTATTTCAGTCCTTTAACTTGATTGCATCTCACTTTAGGGCCCAGCGTTTGGACAATTTTGGTAAATGCTTTACATATTTAAAAATAATGTGCGTTCTGCAGAGACAGGGGTTTCACCATGTTGGCCAGGCTGGTCTTGAACTCCTGACCTCAGGTGATCCACCTGCCTCAGCCTCCCAAAGTGCTGGGATTACAGGTGTGAGCCACCGTACCCGGCCCCTTCTTTTTATTTTCAAACTTTCTAAGGCCTCTTTGAGCACAGCGCGAAAGCTGTCCTGGACAGTTCAAAACCAGGTTTGGCTGGTGTTGGGCTGGATCTGGCCCTGGGACTGACTTTCGCCAGCCCCCTGTCTGGTGGACTCACTGTGGCTCTGGCTGGCAGGGAGGAGAGGGGCTGATGCTGGGCTCTGCACTGACTGTGAGGGCAGCCTCCAGTTGGTGAGGCCGGGTTGGGTTCTCTGCTCTTCTTACTCCCACTGGGTAGCCCATAGCAGCTGCAGCCAAAGCCCCTCCTCCCGGACAGGCCCTGGACAGCAGGAGGCCGCCCGGCGCCCTCTCAGTCCCGCTGCTGACTGGCAGATGCCCAATGGGGCAGCCCGTGCCGCCTGCACTCGCCTCTCGGAGCTCCCCTGCTCTGGATCTTAGCACCCATGCTTTGTTTGCGCATAATAAACGCATACACACGTGAATGTCATAGTGTATTAGGGGACGGGGAGTGCTTTGGGGAAAAGATCTGGTCCAGGGGGACGCAGGATGCTGGCGAGGGTGAGTGAAATATCAAACAGGGCAGGTAAAGACAACCTCGGGATGCGACATTTGCAGAAAGCATCAAAGGAGGAGATAGTCTGCCTCGCAGCTGGATGTCTAGGGAATGGCGTGCCAGGCTGAGGGCTGGAGGCACAAAGGCCCCAGGGCAGGGTGGCTGAGGAGGCAAGGGGGCCACGTGGCTGCATCAGGAGGGGCAGGACCTGGGGGTCTTAGGTCAGAGGGACAGTGGGAGCCAGAGTCCGTGAGGCCCCTAGCGTCACCCTGTGTGAGAGGAGAGCCCTGGAAGGGTTCCGAGAGGGAGCCCTCCAGACACCAAGTTGAGGAAGGACCTTCAGAGGGTAGAGGTGGAGAGACCAACCAGGGGGCTGTGGTGGTTGCCCAGGTGAGAGTGACCGTGGCCAGGGTGGTGTGGGCAGTGGGCTCTGTGTGTATTTCACGATGGAGCCTGTAGTTACCTGCGAGTAGGCCGTGAGGATGGCGTGTGGATCAGCCTCACTCTTTTTTTTTTTTTTTTTTTTGAGATGGAGTCTCGCTCTGTAGCCCAGGCTGGAGTGCAGTGGCCGGATCTCAGCTCACTGCAAGCTCCGCCTCCCGGGCTTACGCCATTCTCCAGCCTCAGCCTCCCAAGTAGCTGGGACTACAGGCGCCCGCCACCTTGCCCGGCTAGGTTTTTTTTTTTTTGTATTTTTTAGTAGAGACGGGGTTTCACCGTATTATCCAGGATGGTCTCGATCTCTTGACCTCGTGATCCGCCCGTCTCGGCCTCCCAAAGTGCTGGGATTACAGGCTTGAGCCACCGAGCCCGGCCAAGCCTCACTCTTGCTGCCACGACAAGTAGACCCTGACATTGCCACACTCGCCCCTGGAGCAGCTCTGTTCTCACTCCCGTAAGCCCAGCAAGGGTTCACCTGATGGGCAGGTGTCTTCCCTTCTTGGGTGAGCTGGGACTCAGGCTCCCAAGACCCTCAGTGCCACCAGCCCAGAGGGCCTGGAGTCCGTGTGGCTAGTGAGGAGCTGGAGGCCGACACCCACATCCACAAATAGCACCAAGGGGACCCAGGCTCCTGCTACTCACAGGACCTCAGGGCTGGGAACTGCCAGGGCCAGGGGCCCTTAAGCCACCAGATGAGGGGCTCCAGGTAGGCGAGTGTGGGTGGGACAGAGGACCAAGGACTGGGCTGGGGTCCCGCTGGAAGCACTAAGCGGGGAGAGGAGCACCATCAAGGGAGACAGCCGGGAGATAGAAGGGCCCCGCCTGGGAGCCTGAGCAGGCAGGAGATGGGGGCAGAGGGTCTGCCGGGTGCTTCGGCCTGGAACAAGGCCCCTGCCAGGGGCACCCGGGGGCTGCAGGTGTCCCCCTACTGCGTTCAGGTGTGAACTGGGAGTGTGTGGCCCCGGCCAGGCCCATTGCAGATTGGAAAGGGGCTCTTCAGGGGTTTGGGCCACAGAGCACCATGTACCCTGCAGACCAGAGGCCCAGCTGGACGGAATCTCGCTGCAGGGTCGCCCTTAGGGGCTTCCCACAGCCAGGTGGGGCTGGGGGATGGGAGAAGGCGTCTTCCTTCCCCCCCTCACATGCCCGCCCTGCCCCCCAGCCATTGTCACCCATGGCCCTAATCCTGCCCCCACCCCAGTTCACACCAGCACCCCCAGCAGACACACCAGGCTGCATCATTCATTTAATGCTGCTTTTCCATTTTCCGGCAAAAGCTGGGTCCGCCCTCACAGCTGCCTCCTCTTACCCAACAGCGTCTGCCCAGGTGTGTGGTCACCCTGAGTTAACCCATGGGAACCCCTCAGCTGGCCAGGGCTGGTCATGGTGCTACTTCTTCTTCGGAATTTTCTCCTTTTTGATCAATTCAGAAAATTCTAGAGCAGGAGACCAATATCTAGTTAGTACCCCTGTTTTGTGTCCCCCAATCCCTGTAAGTCCTTTAACTCTCAAAGGAGGCAGAGGGAGTGTGCCTGGACGACACAGTCCCCAAGCCCTCGAGCAGGGACCAGGCCTCCAGCCTGTCTGGCCGGGGCCCCACGCTGGAGCTGTTTGCCCTGGGCCCGGCTGCTTGGTCGTGACGAGTTGACCCCGGCCGGGGACTGGGGACTTGCAGTGGCCTGGGTCTCTGCAGAGACTCTCAGGAATTCCACCAGACCCTCTGAGAACAGGTGCTCCTCCTATGATCCTCTCTTAGTGGGGAAACTGAGGCACGGAGCAGCTGGGGGGCCTGGGTTCTAAGAGGGGCCAGGCTGTGCGCCAAGCCTTGTGGCTCGCACAAACCAGGTTTGCTGGGGTTTCCAGACCCAGGCAGATGAGGACAGGGCCCATGGCTGGGCAGGGGGTGTCTGGAGGCCCAGCCCACCTCGTGTGCCCTCTGCCCTCCAGGCCTGTGGCCAGCCACTGGGGAGTGAGATGGCCCAGAACTCAGGGCAGCCATGGAGAGCCTCAAAGACCGTGGGCCCCCCAGAAGACAGCATCCCCGAGCCCAGAGACCCCATACCCGCTGGCTCCGCCACAGCTGGCCTTCCCAAAGCCCTCCCGGCCACCCCTCTGCAGTGGGGCCCTTGGCCCAGGGGAGAGCCCCTCGGCTCCCGGCCCAGCCCAGAGCCCTGAGCCTGGATTTCCTCATCTGTGAGTTGGGTGCTGGTGCCCTCAGGGTGAGGCCATGGGCAAGGGTCGTGGCCTAGCAGGGGAAGGAGGGTCCTGAGGATACCCTGGCTGTGCTGCCCCCACCTTCGTAGTCGATCCTCCCGTCCCCGTCTGTGTCCGCCACCTGGATCATGGCCTCAGCCTCCTCGTCTGTCAGCGGGGCAGTGGGCCCACTGCTGGGGATGATGCACAGGATGTACCTGGGGCCGAGGGGTCTCGAGTCAGTGCCAACGGGCTTCCAGCCAGTGCCCAGTGGCTCACGAGCCGTTCACCCCCGACTTTGTAGGCGAGGACACTTCGGGCTGGGAGCCTGGGCTTGTGGGCCTCCTGGGCCTCTAGCCGGTTCTGGCCCAGCCCTGCCAGCTACGAGGCTAGCCGGGACCCGGTGGGGGAAAGCCAGGTCTGCCAGGTGGGCATTTGGTGTGGTCTGGGTGGCTTGGGCCCCACCCCTCCCCGGCCGCCGGCTATTACTTGATCTCGTTCCACTCAATGAAGCCACTCCTGTCCTTGTCCAGGGCCTGGAAGGCCTCTCGGATGGCTTCGTCCAGCTGGCCTGAGGCGTGGAACTTGCGCATGTGCTCAAAGAACTTGAGGTAGCTGTAGGATCCTGGGGCAACCAGGCTGGGCTCACGGAGGGGCCGACCTCACTCCCGCCAGGCCTCCAGGGAAGACCCCGCCCTGGGATGGGGGCTGCCAGGTCCTGCACCCCCATGTCCCCGCCCACCGCAGGTCCTGGGGTCCTGAACCCATCAGCCCCGAAAAAGAGGTGAGGTCTCCTGACCACAGCTGGGCTGGATGGGTGGGGGCTGTGCTGGGCGGGGCATGCTGTACCGTGGTGTCTCATGTCCGTGGGCAGCAGCTCAATGTCCTTGTCTGATAGGGACGTGCCCATGGCCAAGGCCATCTTCTTCATCTGGGAGAAATCCTCGTCCATCCTGGTCCTGGGGTGGATAGGGAGTCAATTCATGGGGTGCACACATGGATTGGGGGTGCTGCTTGGGCCAGAGCAGACGTAGATGCCGCATGGTGCTGGGTCCTGCCGTAAAGTGGGAACGATGACAGGCGTCATAGTGTTGGCATCGTGGCAGGGCCCCTGAGACAGGCTGGGATCCCAGCCAGGCAGGTGGGGGTCTGGGCACAGGCAGAGGGGCCAGCGGGAGGGGCCGGGCCATCCTGTGGCCCGCACGGCAGCACCTTGTGACCTGCTGGGCTCTCGGGTTGCTGTCCCCAGCGGGGGCTGGGTTCTGGGGCTCAGCACAGCAGCTATCTCAGAGCGCAAGGAGCAGCAGGTGTCCCAGGCTTCTTGGCCCTCTTGAAAGTTCACGGGGTGGTAGAGCCTTCTGGAACACTCTTGCTGCCAGGAGGGGCGGCCTGTGTTCTCGAATGGGGCTGGGCAGTGGCCAGAGGCATCTCTGCTTTCCTCTGGATAGAGAGGCCATAGGTCAAGGGTTGCAACCCAACCCTGGTGCCCCGGGGGTGTGAGGGGTGCCAGCTGCAGCCCTTGGACCAGGTTCTGCTCCCCAACCCATGGTGCCTCCAGCTGCCATGTGACATGGGGAGACACCTACCCCTTCACGGGGTTGTGCGAGGAGCCAGGAGAGAAGGGAGATGGTGGGGAATGGGCTTGTCTGCTGCTGTGGGGCTGGAGCTGGGCCCCCAAGGCCCCTGCAGTGGCTGATTCCCCCAGCCAGCAGGGTGGTGGTGAGCAGGCATGTGGGGCAGGCCTGGGCCTCCAAGGCCCTCAGGACAGGCCCTGCCCCACTTCATTCAGAGCTGGAACTCTGGTTCCCCTCCTCCAACCCTGGCATCTGGGGGACCCGTTCTGGAAGAGAGGACACCTGCCTACCACTTGGGGCCCCAGGCCCAATGTCACCTCCTTTACAGAGGAGGGGCTGGGCCAAATTCCATGCTAAATGTGGCCGAGCCAGGAACCAATGTCCCATCTGCCGAGCGCTGGGGGCACCCCTGGGCTGGGCTCGTTCACCACCCCCAATCCCACTGCTTTCAGGGGTGCCCCCAACAAAGGCAAGGGAGCCTGGGATCCGGGCTGGAGACAGGGTGGAGGCAGGCCTGGAGCTCCAGACTGCTGGTTTATTTATAGCTCCTGCATCCCCAGCCCGGGCTGCAGTTTAACGGGATCCAAGTGAGCCAGGATGTCCTGCGGGGGGAGGCTGCGGGACACCACACGAGCTATCCTTAGGCCCTGCCTGGACTCGGGGGGCTGCCCTCAGTGCCGGGAAAGGCCCTGCCGAAAGGCCTCTTTTTCCCCACTCCCTTTATCCACCCTCCACAGCTGGAGCTCCTGTAGCCTCCAGGCTGGGCTAAGACCCCTCAGAGCACACACCTCCCCAGCATTGCTACATCTGGGTTGCCCCGCCCCGGGCCATTCTGGACCTTCCATTCTTGGAGGCTGTGGTCTGCCCACAGCAACTAGCCTTTGCCACCCAGTTGCCAAGGGCAGATGCTGAGATGAGAGAGGCTTCTCGGGGGAACAGGTGATGGAGGCAGTGGGATCCCTCTGGCAGGGCATGGGGACCAGAGCCGGCTCTGTGTTCCTGCTGGAGTCTGGGGGCCAGAGGCCTTGGACCCGCTGCCCTGCCAGCCACATCCCATCTCCATCCCCACTCAGAGCCTGGGGGCCTAGGGGCAGAGTGAGCAGGTCCAGCTCCCTATGCAGAGGCCCCAGCTCTCAGCGCCTCTTGTAGTCGTGCCCACAGAGGCTCGCGCCAGTGCACGCGTGCACGCACATGTGCCCCACAGGACCAGGCACGTGCAGCTGTCTTCCATCCGGGGGCCCCCTTGGGGCTCATAGTGGTGATACTGGCAGGAAGGGTCATTCCTTCTCTTTCCACTTCCTTTCCCTACCTTCCCTGGGCTCCCTGGGGTCTCCCAGGGCCACCCTTGTCCTGTGGATGAAGAGGAGGCCCCCAAGTTCCCACCATCCAGCTCAGATAACTTCAGCTGCCTGGGACCCACACCCCTCCTTGGCAGGGCTCACCTCTGGCTTCTTTTGAGAGATCTGGGAAGGTGGTTCAGGCGGGGGTGCGGAGAGGCCCAGGGGCTCCAGCTTTTATACCTGCACGCCTGTTTACATCTTGGGGCTGCAGCTGTCCTCGCCCCTCCCTGGCACTCCAGCCTGGCACAGGCAGCTCCCAGGGGCTCGCAGGCACTTGGTGTGTCCACACTGGGCTGGGCAGACTGACCCTTAACCGCACCTGGCCTCCCCAAACCTGGGGTGGAGTTAGGGAGGAGCAGAGGGCACCAGTGAGCCGGTGAGCGGGTGACCGAGGCCAGCTGGGCAGTCAGCAGCTGAAAACCTCAGGTCAGAGGGGCTGAGGGACCTGCCCAAGGTCACGGGGCTGGAACCCAGGCCTCAGGCCTCCAGTGCAGTGGGTTGTACACAGTGGGAGGGGCTGCGGGCGGTGCGTGGGTGCAGGGAGATTGAGGCTGGGGACCCTGCCCCCCCAGCTCTGGTGCAGGAAACAGGCTCCAGGGCCAGGCACGTGAGTAGGGTTTGAAGGGGCAGCCAAGTGGGTGCTGCAGCCCAGCCTGGAGGCTTGGGCCGGAGGGAAGGGGCACAGCACAGCCTGCAGGCTGGTGGGAGTGGGGAGGCTCCAGGCTCCTACGAGACAAAGCTTATCCAGGCCAGGTCCTCCTCACAAACCACGGTGCCTCCCCTGCTGGGGGGCAGGGAGGGCCAGGGTGATCCCTGGCTGGCTCTGAATATACCAGGGGCACGGTCCCCTTCTGCCGGGGAGGGTGGTGCTAGCAGCCCCGCCCCGTGGGGTGGTCATGCTGGGCACGGCAGGTCTGTGAGCAAGCCAGGGACGGTGCTGCCTGCAGGGGTGGGGGGCCGGGCTTTCTACTGGAGGCCACGGGACCGCCAAGGCCTTCTACGTAGGCCGTGGTAGCCTGCTCATTTTGGAGGTGTGAGGATATTGTCCCCACTAATGAAGGTGACAGTCATGATATGTGACAGGTGACAATGAATGTAATAACAGTGTCATCTGCCATTGGCAGGGCCCCGGGGGTCTCGGACTGCCACAGCAGCCTCTTGAGGGAGGCTCCATTATCCTCCTTCTTCAAGAGACCCCAGGAGCTAAGGAGACAAACCCGGTTCCATGTGGTCCCCGACAGGGTTGCAGGGCCCATCCCAGCTGGGTATAGAGGTCGGGGCCACCTGGAGCCTCAGGTCGGATATCAGGGAGATGTCCAGGCTGGGACAGGGAAGGGGACACTGGTGGATCCTCCCAGGTCACTTTCCCAAAGGGCTGAGCCCTCCCTGGCCCCAGCAGCAATTAGTGGCCAGTAAAATTCTTGCCCAACTTTGGCCTTAAAATGAATGTGATTGGCCGGGCGCGGTGGCTCAAGCCTGTAATCCCAGCACTTTGGGAGGCCGAGACGGGTGGATCACAAGGTCAGGAGATCGAGACCATCCTGGCTAGCATGGTGAAACCCCGTCTCTACTAAAAAAATACAAAAAACTAGCCGGGCGCCGTGGCGGGCGCCTGTAGTCCCAGCTACTCGGGAGGCTGAGGCAGGAGAATGGCGTGAACCCGGGAGGCGGAGCTTGCAGTGAGCTGAGATCCGGCCACAGCACTCCAACCTGGGCGACAGAGCGAGACTCCGTCTCAAAAAAAAAAAAAAAAAAAAAAAATGAATGTGATTGTTTTAATTAGGATGATTGAAATATTATCTGTAATAACTTTTGGATGAGATGAAGCAGTTAGGATTATTACAGAATATTTGGAATATGCAAGCGAACACGATGGAGATAAAGTCACCTGCAGAACACACGTTTGATGCTGGAGAATGTCCAGACTCGGTGGGTGCCTTTTCCTCCATTTCCTTAGTGCTTTTCTTCTTTCTTGTTTGCTTTTTTATCATGATAAAATTCACATAGCATAAATTTACCATCTTTGCCCTTTTTAAATTGCTATTATTGATACAGTGTCTTACTCTATCACCCCATCACCCAAGCTGGGATACAGTTGCACAATCTGGGCCCTGCAACCTCCGCCTCCCAGGTTCAAGCAATTTTCCTGTCTCAGGCTCCCAAGTAGCTGGAATTACAGGTGCATGCTGCCACGCCTGGCTAATTTCTGTATTTTTAGTAGCGACTGGGTTTCACCATGTTGACCAGGCTGGTCTCGAACTCCTGACCTCAGGTGATCTGCCTACCTTGGCCTCCCAAAGTGCTGGGATTACAGGCGTGAGCCACCGTACCCGGCCACCTTTTTTTTTTTTTTTTTTTTGAGATGGAGTTTTAAGCCAAGTGTGGTGGCTCACGCCTGCACAATCCCAGCACTTTGGGAGGCCAAGGTGGGCAGATCATCGGAGGTCAGGAGTTTGAGACCAGCCTGGCCAACATGGTGAAACCCTGTCTCTACTAAAAATACAGAAATTAGCCAGGGGTGGTGGTGCGAGCCTGGAGTTCCAGCTACTCGGGAGGCTGAGGCAGTAGAATTGCTGGAACTCGGGAGGCAGAGGTTGCAGTGAGCTGAGATTGTGCCACCGCACTCCAGCCTGGGTAACAAAAGAAGACTCTGTGTCAAAAAAAAAAAAAAAAAAAAAAAAAGGGTGAATAATACTCCATTGCATGGTTGGACCACATTTTGAGTATTCATTCATCTGTTCATGGACCCTAGATTTTTCTTCTACCTTTTGGCAATTGTGAATAATGCTGCTATGAACATGGGCGCACAAATGTCTCCCTGAGAGCCTGCTTTCAGTTCTTTTGGGATGATAACCAGAAGTAGAATTGCTGGCTGATGCGGTTGTTCTAATTTAAGTGTTTGAGGAGCTGCCATAGTGTTTCCATGGCAGCCGCACTGTTTTCCATTCCCACTAGCAGCACACAGGGGCCGACTGCCCCACATCCTCACCAATACTTGTGATTCTCTTCTCTGAGGGTTTTTTTTTTTTTTAAATAGCAGCCATCCTAAGGGGTGTGAGGTGGCATCTCATTGTGTTTTGTTTTGTTTTCATTTTTGTCTTTCGAGATGGAAATTTGCTCTGTCACCCAGGCTGGATTGCAGTGGCATGATCTTGGCTCACTGCAACCTCCGCTTTCTGGGTTCAAGTGATTCTTCTGCCTCAGCCTCCTGAGTAGCTGGGATTACAGGCATGTGCCACCTTACCTGGCTAATTTTTGTATTTTTAGTGGAGATGGGGTTTCACCATGTTGACCAGGCTGGTCCTGAACTCCTGGCCTCAGGTGATCCACCCACCTTGGCCTCCCAAAGTGCTGGGATTACAGGCATGAGCCACCCTGCCCAGCCCTCTTTGTAGCTTTGATTTCCATTTGCCTCATGATTAGTGATGGTAGGCATCTTCTCATGGGCTTATTAGGCAGTTGATACCTTCTTTGGATAAATGTCTATTCAAGTCCTTTGCCCATTTTTGAACTGAATTTTGTTTATTTGTGATTAAGTTTTAGGAGTTCTTCATATATTCTCTCTAAATTTCTGGTTATTAATCTATTTTCGGATATATGATTTGCAAATATTTTCTGCCATTCTTTGGGTTGCTTTTTTAGTCTGTTGATAGTTTCTTTCGACCCACAAGTTTTTTTAATTATCATGAAATCAAAGTTGTCTATTTTTTTCTTTTGTTGACCGTGCCTTTGCTGCCATATCCAAGAAATCTTGTCAAATCCCATGTCATGAGGCTTTTGCTCTGTTTTCTTTTAAGAG